CTCCCAGCTGTGTCTCCTGGTCCGCAAAATGAGATAGATGATCCCCCGGGAAGCTCCCAGCTATTTGTAGAGACCATTACACCCTGACATTTGGTGAAGCCAAATCCCAATAGACTAGTCACAGTGTCTTAAGGTCTCACCATTCGCATGGAACGAAGCCATTCAATTTTCCTGCCCCGAGACATTGAACACTGTTGTTGCTGTAAATCATCGCATTTTATAACCATTGCTGGACGTTTGTATAATGAATAGTACATTGAAAAATCAATGTCATTGAGGCATTTCATTGTGCATATGTATGTCTGTAATGTTTAAAAACAGATGATGATCATCATCAATAGATTTATCACATTCTTTCCCCTTCAATTTTCTAACCCAGATTCTGAAAGGCTGTAATACTCACAAATATTACAATTTACATTTTGCTAATTGGTCATTTTTGGAGATTACTGCTTAATCTGTAGAGCTGTCTACAAATGCAACCATATTTAGTGTGATAATCTTCAGAACTCCCCCAAGGTTTTTGCTGCCATTTATGTAGAGGCAAGCCTGCTGAACATTATTGACAATAATCCGTCTGTAAATTCTTGATGGATATTGAGCAAGGAATCCAATTTAACAGGTTTAAAGGCCATTTAGAGATCTTCTACAGGATGGTTTGAGTAATTATGTGGCTTTTTTTAGTGCTGTAAATTCAATTATTTTTGTTGAGACATAATTTCATTGTACAAGGGGCTGCATTTGAGTTGAGACAATTACGTAGGATAGTAGTTCTGTTCTGTTCTGTTCTGTTTAGTCATCCTCATCAGAGGTGAAGCATGATATCATGCCTTTTCTATTAGCTATACTTGTGCAATGTGCCTTCGCTGCGGTTCGCACATATATAGGGTGTGATGATGTTAATCTCACTGTGTCATGGCTAATACAAGATGAAGGTTCGCCAGGCCTCCGTTCAGGTGATTTGTAGTGTGTCACCAACTCCCAGAGAGAAGTATTTGCACCTTCGCACCATCAGACCTTGTAGTAGTTATACATTGGAAAGGATGGAATTTTCTGACCTACACAAATCTCAGCCAGTCCATTATGCTAAGCTAAACTGACTGGCTCCCCTGGCCAGTGTGCTCTATCACTGTCACACTGAGCCACACACAGGATTAACTGTGCATTACACTTGCCAGGGCTAGATGGAAACAGGGTCTGCAGTGGCAGCCTTTCGGTGCTCAAGTGACCTCAACATGACAGAATCTGCTCTGTTGGACTGTAAGGTTTTAAAGCCACTCACACTGGGATGTAGCAATACTGTTAGTAGATAAAAGTCTCTTCAAACACAGGACTGCCATTTTATATCCTATCTGTTCATTTTATTGTAGCTCCAGTTCGCTTCTCTGATCACATCCAAACAGAATAGGACTTTCATGGTCCCGGCTTTGATTTTTCAAAAGGTATAGTCTGCTAGCATAGGCAACTTTGATTAAAAGACTTGTAGGCAGCCTTGCCTACCAACTCCAAAAGATGACCTTGCTCATGATGACTAACATAGCTACTAACCATGGTCTAGAGAAAATCAAGAGGCCATGGTTGGCTATGAGTGAGGAGGGCTTACATAGCTTTTTTGTTATCTTGATAGTTCATCTGTGTTGGTAGAAGTCATGAAGCAAGGTTAAACTGTAATTTCCAACAAAAAAAAATTGGACTAACCCCAATTTTCAACTATACAACTCCACAGAAATCATTACAGAAATGGTGGATTGTTCATTACTTGACAAAAGCTGGAGCTGTACAGTCTAAATTTGGGTACGCCGAATTTTTTGTGTTGGAAATTACAGCTTAAACTTGCTTTTTTAAGTTTTTTAGTTTTTACACATTTTTGCTATTTTGTTGGCCCTTATCTACAGGAGAGATGAGCCCACCCCTCCCCACCCTAGCAGACAGGTCAGTGCAGTTCCCCTCGTACTTCCTGTCCCAGGGAGGTCTGTGTGTGGTGAGGAGGATTGTCACAGTCCTGGCCTACCTGCACCCTGACATCACCTGGTGTCCTGTACTCATACCTGTCACCTGCGTGTTGCTGCACTACCTGCAGGAGGAAGTCAAGGTGTACCAGGTAAGCAGGTGTTTCACCTGTGTCTTGTATCTACATTTGACAATGCATGTGTTTTGTATCTATGTACATGTATTTGACAATGCTCTAGACTGTTCCACACACAAACACACCTGTCCTTGGTGCTGAATGCCATCTACATTCAGGTAAACACACCTGCAAAGGGAGTCAAGGTGCACCAGGTTAGCAGGTGTGCCAGGTGTGTTTTGTATCTGCACTAGACGACGTGTTACCTAACCTACTGTGATCCACACACAAACAAACATACCTGTCCTTGGTGCTGAACACCATCTACACACAGGCAAACCTGTCCTTGGTGCTGAACACCCTTCACACATAGGTTAACACACCTGTCCTTGGTGCTGAACACCATCCACACACAGGTAAACACACCTGTCCTTGGTGCTGATCATCCTCCACACACAGGCAAACACACCAGTCCTTGGTGCCGAACACCATCAACACACTGGTAAACACTTGGTTTGCTAGTGCATTTTATTTCTGATGTATAGCTGCACCTAACCTACATAACATTGTCATATACTATTTGTTTGCTGTAGGCCGTTGCCAATATGTTGACTCACACTGGAAGGACAGAGAAAGGTTGGTCACTAGAATTTCTTTTTTCACCAACAAAAATTCTATTTGATTCAACCCACGAGGTTCTATAGATCTAGATAATAGAACCTTCTTGTTATTCATGGTATAATTTTTTGCTTTGTTATAAATTCATGGTTGAAACAGTTCTGTAGTACAGTAGTAATACATTGGAAATACACATTCACTGAGTGTGTAATGTATTTGCAGTGGAGAGGTCACTGCAGAAACTGAAAAAACATTTCAGGATTTACAGCATACTAGTCTGATGGTTTAGTAAGTAAACATGTACGAGTCATCATCACAGGTTAATGACCTAAACCACAAGTGATACGTCGCCATCTGTTTTTGTTCCCAGGAGAGAGAAGAATGTACCTGATGGACACCAGGCTATCCCACGAGGCTATGAACAGGGTTTTCAGTGATCTTGCCAAGAGATACGCTGTAGGTTCTTATTGTAAATTCATTTACAATATATTTTAATGGTGATTCGTGATAGTAGGGGATAGGAGGATTTTGAAGCATTTTAAGATTGCGTTTGGAACAATTTATTTTTGTAATGCAGTTAGTACTAGTCTTTGGTAATGCATGTATATTGTGTCATGAATTCACAGTGTTGGAGGGCACCCCAAAAAGTGTGAAAATAAAACCACTGCAAACTATTGTGATGACAAAATCGATGTAATGTTTTTGTCTGATTTTCATTCTTTCCCCCCACAGAAAGCAGCTTATGTATTTTTGAAGGATTTCAGTGATGTGGATGCAGTTATGTCAGAATGGATCTGGTGGATATTTGGAGCTCTTCCATTTGAATATGTGGTGAGTTAACTTTTGATGCAATCTGTATCAAACACACTCAACCAAGGATTGAGGTGTTCAAGAATTCATTCTTTCCTAGAACTATCGCAGAGTGGAACTCACTGTCACCAAGCACAGTAGGGGCATTGTCAATAGATAGCTTTAAACAATGTCTAGAGCTAGAGGTTCAAGGGATAGGTGTAACAAGTCGATCGGTGTAATATAGCCAACTGCTGCCGCGCCGCGTGCCTGCGAAGCTGGTGTGTTACGTGGAAAGGCGGTTATACCGGCTATACAGATACAGATACAGATACACACTCTATCCACACTCAGGCAAACATACCTGTCCTTGGTGCTGAATGCCATCCACACACACATACATACATACATACATACACTCACATACAAACACACACACAGAGGCTAGCATGCATATCCTTGGTGCTGAATGCCACCCACCCACACACACATACATACACTCACATACAAACAAACACCCAGAGGCTAGCATGCCTATCCTTGGTGCTGAATGCCATCCACACACACACATAAACTCACATACAAACACACACACCAGTGGCGGCGGCAGAGGGGGGGCAGGGGGGCGGCCGCCCCCCCAAAAAAAATATTGGGGGGGCGTCGCCCCCCCAAAAATCATGCTGAAATTCTAGTGTATTTTCTCTAGATGTAAGGAAAAGCCAGCAAACAGTTCGATTTCTACCTTAAAACCACTTGTAAGACGCATTTTCTGCGCTGCGCGGCCACTTGAAATCTGAAATCACACCAACACCGTCTTCTACATGTAGGTATTACCGCGAGTTGTAAGCTCTGATTGGTTCATCCCCGAAAACCTGCGCTCTGATTGGTTTATCTGCTGTGCATTACGTATTACTAGGAATATCGCACGAGTTTCTCACGCTGTGAGAGTTTGTTCTGCTGACCCCTTTGTAACGATATCGGTAAAAATGAAATCCAGTTCTTCTGAAGACAACATGCAGTTTATTTTCGCGGCACACCGTGCCCTTCCCAACAGCACAACAGCATTTTTCACGTGTGTAGAATCGTGTATGCATCGATATTCCCGCTCAGGTCCCGCACCGCGCCGCTCGAATTTCCCGGAGCCGATGAGAGTAAACCATACAAGGTATTAAATTTTAATTAAACCAAGGACTGGCTCAACAATTTTTGTCAGATCTTAGAATGTCCTACTAAGAAATCTTCTGTAATGTCCTTGGTTGAGGCGAACTGAGATTCGATTGACGAATAGACGAAATGTGTACCCAGCAAAACATCAAAAATGCGTTCCCAAAATACAGGAAATGGCGTTTCCAG